CCGTAGATACATGTCTGCCCTTCACACACGGGGTAGTGGCAGTGGATCTACATCCCGTAGATACATGTCTGCCCTTCACACACGGGGTAGTGGCAGTGGATCTACATCCCGTAGATACATGCCGGCTTTTCACACACGGGGTAGTGGCAGTGGATCTACATCCCGTAGATACATGCCTCTGGCACACACACGTCTAACGTTCCTCCGGGTCCCTCTAATTACGAGCGTATATGGATCGGAGGCGGGGATACCTGCGTTGTCGTCGGCGTCGACGACGGCGCAGCGGATCGCTCGCTCCCATCCCGTCGTCTTGTTCTTCTGCACCATGCGCGCAAATCTCACGGTGAACTTCACCTTGTTGTTCGCCGTCATCGTCACCTGCGCGAGAAAGAGTTAGTGTTAGGGTTATGGTTAATGGTAGGGTTAGGTTTGAGGGTTATGGTTAATGGTAGGGTTAGGGTTATGGTTAATGGTAGGGTTAGGGTTGAGGGTTATGGTTAATGGTAGGGTTAGGGTTGAAGGCTAGAGTTAACATTGAGGGTAATGGTTACGGTTAAGCTTGAGGGTTAGGGTTAAGGATTGATGGTTAGGGTTAGGATTGAGGTTGAGGGTTAGGTTTAAGGTTGAGGGTTAGGGTTCATGGTAGGGTTAGGGTTGAGGTTGAGGTCGAGGGTTAAGGTTAGCATGACGATGTTTATGAATTATGTACTGCCATCCTGGTGAATGAGAGCTGCTCACCTCCTGCTGTCCTCGCTGCAGCGCGTTGTTAATCTGCGTGACGTCCGCCTTCGAAAACGGCGTCCAGACTCCGCCGTCTGCTTGCCATTCCCACGTGAGGTCGACGCTACCTTCTCCTTCTCCCGAACCATTACTCACGACCTGCTCCTCTTCTTCCTCTTTCACCTTCCTCTCCACGGCGGCAGCATCGCCGCCGACTCCGTTCTCAACTGCAATTAATCGCGTCGCCTGCTGTACTAGTAGGACACGCAATCGTCATGACGACAGCATCTGACGGCGCCCGATTCGAGGGTCCGATTAATTGGACTTATTTTTATGAACACTTAATTAACTTTATACAGAGCAGACATTATTGAGACAACGACACATCACAGTGACACCGAGCATAAGAAAGGGCACGAGTCGAATGTTAACAATTTGGCATTACTATAGCCATTAATAATATTTTGAATACGACTGCTGAAATATCACACCATACAGCAAGGTGATATAGCTCTAGTACTATAGCCCGCGTACAGTTGCCGCTGGCGCCATCCAGCGCCTGCGGCAACTGTACGCGGGCTATAGTACTAGAGCTAGGTGATATAGAGTTCCACGTGTGCGTTGTGTTATGTACAGCAGCCTACTACTAGACTAGTACTAGTAGTACTCTACTGTACGAAATATGCATGGTCCCACACTCACAGCTAGGGCCTGCATACCTCCCAAAGTGACCGACCAATCGGAGCGCTCGCAGCTCCTCCAAAAGTGACGCGTCGTCGACCGACCAATCGGAGCGCTCGCAGTTCAGGCACTAAAGCTGACGCGATGTTTTGTGGTTGCATTATTTAATCTGGCTATCGTGAGTGGATGGTTACTGGTAAGGGTTAGGGTTAGGGTTTAGCTTTATATTTATCAGCTTTAGTGCCTGAGCTGCGAGCGCTCCGATTGGTCGGTCGACGACGCGTCACTTTGGGAGGTATGCAGACCCTAGCTGCGAGTTGGGCACACTGTGACTGGGACGATCACAAACTGTAAACTAACTCGAGACCTAACCCGACCAGGCTGTGTGACTAACGAACGTCAATACAACGTCAATAGGGTATTCTAACCCTAGCAATACCGTTTCTTGGAGCTACTCGAGACCGTAAAAATCTCTAATACATTCTTACCTGTTTTCTTCCTTCTGCCAGGCATAACATAAAATATACCTTAACAAGCTGAGTGTGGAAATAGTGTACACTTTACTGGGTGTCAATTCAATTTTTTAAATCAAAGCTATTGGCAGATATTGCTCGCAGTCAGAAGTCACGATCATCAAACGTGTGCAACTAGGACCCTACGTAAACACAGACTTTTCGCGCCACAGAAATATTGATGAAAACGTTTCCTAGTATACTGGCGACATCTATTGTCGCAATCGGATGAACATCACTAGAAAGTTTAGTTTCGACGGTGTGGTTGGTTGATCATTGATCAGATGCCGTAGTGCAGATCGCGGTGGAAGGATTTAACGTGTTATATGTGATTAACTGGTGTTGCAAGTTGTGGACGGAAGTGTTTTAGTGACAGATTTCTGAGCTTATTCAACTCCTGACAGGTGAGGTTGCTTTGCGTGATCAGAAAATAGTTATAATTAGGAGTCTTCTGAAGGACCGTGCTATTGACGCTGGTTTATCAGCTGCCAGCTACACAGACGGCCCGTGCCTGTGGTTGGAATCACAGGCACTTGGAACGTCTCAATTAAAAAAAAAGGTAAATAAAAACGAAATGTATTTACCACCAAAGTCTTAATGTTTCTCTACTCTATTTCGCCTATTATTGCCGATCTCTTAGTATTATTCATGTTGTTTGTGTGCACAGGGCGGGCGTGCGGTGTACTTGTGTGTTGCAGATGAGCATTTACGGGTAGTTATCGCAATATCGGCAATAATAGGCGAAATAGAGTAGAGAAACATTAAGACTGGTAGTAAATACATTTCGTGTTTACTTTTTTTTTTAGACGTTCCAAGTGCCTGTGGTTGGAATGCTCTAATCATTCCTACTAGTAGTAGTAGCTGGTGCTGCAGTATCTGTTCGAAACGTACGTCTACCAACACATGTTCAGTTTCTATTGCCGGACTCTGAATTTTTTACTATATACCACTGGTCTGCCTTATTCAGTAACGATCTGAACATGTCATAGCCCAACCAAGTTGCATGACTGACGATCGTAACGTCAACTTTCACCGTCACGGTCTTTTTCGATATACACCAGTATGTTGTACTGTTGGGTCTGTGCTTAATTAGTACTACTATAGTACTATTCTTATTTCTTAGTATTTTGTAAACAACGGTACGTAGTGGAAAAAGAAATATTATGGTAACCTCAATGTACCACATACATTCACAACTTGGGAACTCACTAAATATATTATAGCCCTATTTGTATGCTGTAATGATCGTATTCGTAGTATTTAATGTAAACAATTCACGCATTGACACAATCCAACTATCATCATCATCAGCATGGACAATACAGCATTTCAAAATGGCATGTGAGGATGAACAAACAATGCACCATTATATGTTTAAAAATAAAAAATAATAAGAAATCCATTGAAATTTTAATGTGACATAATAGACGTAAGTGTCGACTTATGCAAGTTTTATGGTACTTTCTATTTTATGCAAACAAGTGACAAATCCAGGGGACAGGAAACACCCCCCCATTTTTGAACAAACACATACATAGAAGTGAGTGGCCTTGTCGGTCTGTGCCCCCCTTTTTTTTATCAAAACTGGACTCGGACTCGGACTCGGACTCGGACTCGGACTCGGGTGATGTCGACTCGGACTCGGGTGGCGCGGACTCGGACTCGGACTCGGGGGGGTGCGGACTCGGACTCGGACTCGGACTCGGGGGGTGCGGACTCGACTACAACACTGGTGACCGGGTGCTGCAGCATTGCCTACCATGTATCCGGTGACCGGGTGCTGCAGCATTAGTGATTACCTACCATGTATCCGGTGACCGGTGCCTCGGGAGGGGCGATCTTCAGGCCTTGACTCAATATTCCGGCCCAGTTTGTGAGCCTAGATCCATGCCACAGTAGCATCCTATCCCAGGAAGAAAGACGACAGCGTGTGAACATGAGGCTGACATGATATAACTTTGATATTAACCCAGATCTCTAAAGATATCATTGTGGGAAGACAGCATTAGAACGAGGGCCAGAATTTTGCTTATAACTGTCCATCAGTATCAAGATGTTAGCTGTAACGTATGGGTGAGACATTACCTGTAATGTACCAGTATGACATTACCTGTAATGTACCAGTATGACATTACCTGTAATGTACCAGTATGACATTACCTGTAATGTACCAGTATGACATTACCTGTAATATACCAGTNATATATATATATATCTGGGACCATAGGTGTTGAAATATTTATGTATATATTCTAGCAAAATCCTTTCTAAAACTAGTAAAAGAACGGATACCTTCCAGCTAAGCGGTGATAGAATTCATCAATGATTTATTTTGCGTAATAGCATGGATCATATTGTAAAATGTACGCGCTGCATTCTATAATCACGTTATCACTCGCTGTGAAAAATTCGCTGTCGCACTCTACACGCGAAAAAGCCGTTTACAGGATATGCAGATTTATGCTAAACCATGCAAATGCTGGTGTGTACGCCAGGAAGGGAGGGAGGGGGGGAGGAAGAGGGATGTGAGACAGAGAATAGGGCATATAGTGAGTGTGTGCATGAGAGAGAGAGAGGAGGGGGCGGAGAGAGAGAGAGAGAGAGAGAGAGT